ACCTTGGTAAAGCAAAACATTGTTATCTGTTATCTAAACAGTTTAACCAGATCGAATTTATGGCCTAATGAAAGATAATTAGGCCACAATGACTGATAATCTGCTTGATATCTTGATTCTAAATTAACGTCATAAGCATAATTTATCGTCATGACTCCCTTTCCCAGAAGAAGTCAGAATCATCGTAATTTTAATATCAACCTGTAATTTTCTCACAGCTCATGCTTGAAAAGCAACTTTTGTCTCCGAACGACCATAAGTCAGCCATTATAGGACTTATATTTTCATTTTCAGTACCTATTTTCATCTAGTAAAAACCATGAAATCAGGCAACGCTCAGTGTTTTCTAGAAAGGCTCTTGACTTGTTTACGGTGAATGGCATCTACTGAGTATTAGAATTGATTTAATTTTAATTGACAATTTGAGACTGTTGTAATTTTAAACTATAAAAATCATCAGCTGTTTATGGTTGTTTTTTTTTTCGAGATTAATAATAGCATATTTATCCTTTTTTAATTATCTGTAATATACGATACGAAAGTATATGGTAAAATGAACCAACGATAGAATTTTTTTATTGCATTGAAAAGTTTTATAGTTGCGTCATTGTAAACTGCTAAATTACAAGCAATAACTTCTATAATATTGTCTCTAAATCCTACATATATGTTACCTATGCTTTCTTATTTTCTGTCTTAATTATTTACAATAATATTAAAGATAAATTAGTTATCCCAGTTTTTTTTTCTTTTTTTCTTATGAATAACGTTGCAAAAACTGTTTTTTCCTGTACCGTGGTTGCGATTACAAACATACAAAGTTTCATACAAAAACCACCCACACCTGAGAGAACGTTGATGTATCGTATAAACTGCGGGACTTGCGACTCGTTTAACAGCAGCAAGTTGTCCAGCCACTGCGCCCACCGTGCTGTATACAGTCACGACAACAATGCATTCGCTATCTGTAAATCGAATCGTAAGTTGCATATTAATGTCCGGACACCGGACACTGACAAATTCAATATGAGTGTCAAAAAATGCATATCATGATTAAACCATGGTCACCATGACATGATTAGACAGTTAGATCATCTATGATAATAAAAAAAGCTGACGTGTTTGTTTGTCCGTCCGTCTGTTTGTTTGGTTACGCAGATAAAACTTTGTAATTAAAAGTCAAGTTTTGAATATTTTGTGGAAGTTTCTGTAGCTGATACTATTTATAATAGTCATTACTGCTACTCGGAACTTAAAAAAGTCAGTCTAAGAATTAGTTTTAATTTATCTTTATATAAGCACTTTTCGAACTTGAAATTTGTATTGACTGTTTGTACTTGAACGGATCACAACATTAATTAATAATTTATTTATAATGCATCAAACTAAACCTACGTGTAGATTCTGTAAAAAAAAAATATGGGTTAAGTAGACGCCCTGTCTACTTAACCCATATTTTTTTTTACTATATATAGATCAACTGATGATCTTACTCCCACAATGAAACACAACGTGAGCGTTATTTTACGCCGATGGCTCGTATTTTTTCACTCACAAAACGAAAAAAGATAAAGAAAATTGAGACTGAAGAAGAAAGTTAAAACTACTACGGCTTTCAACCTCAACAAAGGCGTTAAAAGACAAGAAAAAGAATAGAATTTTAGCGAATGCTGTTCAAAATAATTTATATTCTGAATAAAATAATATCACGTTGCGTCGTTTCGAGACGTAGTACATAAACCACATGTGTTTTCATAAAAAAACTAATCGTTTCGATGTAATCTTATCACGATAATTTATTGGAAGTCGAAATATGTTCAAAGTGGCCTAATTAAGTACAGACAAACAACGGCTCCGGGGCTTTTAAAAGAATAAACATTTTTTTTTGTAAACAATAGTAGTAACAAGTGCCTTACCGACCTTTTGGGGTTTAGAGATTCGGTGGGGGGGGGGGAAGGATTGGGTCTCCGGTAACCTCATACACACACGGCGAAACACAACACTGTTGTTGTTGCACACCGGTTTTCTGTGAGGCCGTGGTATCACTCCGGTCAAGCGGACCCGTTCGTGCCGAAGCATGGCTCTCCCACACCTCAATTCAAATCCTTCTAATATTACAAATATGAGTTTGTGAGAATTTATTCAATAATGGTTGGACCGATTTGGTTGAAATTTGGGATCTAGATAGATGATACCCTGGATTAACTTAAAGACTACTTTTTATCAACATACTACGCGGACAAATCCGAGTGTGGAAGCTAGTTTACCTACCTTTACCTACTATTTACACAATAAAATCAAATAATTAAAATACAGATACATAAATCTATTGATTTAGACTCCTTCTGTTCATATTCATATGTTTGCCTATTAACATACCTATTTAAACAAGAGATGTATTGTAAATATCAATTACTATGACATAATGCTAAAATAATATCAATGATTTACTCATACTATGTATTGAAAAAGCAAGCATTACAATGAGTAAGCAATAATATGATATTGGACAATAACTACTTGTATAGCAAAAAAAATATTGATGAAGTTAGCTTAGATTTTTTTTTGTTCGTTTTTAGGGGTTAAGCTTAAAACAGCCGGGGTTGCAGGGTAAGCGCAATGAGGGACCGCAACCTCGGCCCAGAGCAGGAGAAGGAACAGGGTGGTTTTTAGTCAGTAAGAGTCTGACACACCCTCCCACCCTACCCTAGGCGGGAGAAGTCATTTGATGATTTTCCTCTCATAAAAAAGCTTAAAAACTGCATAATGCGTTTTGATAACGTTTTCATCACAAGATAGGTTGCTTTTGTTTAATTTATTAAAATCATTCCGGGAGATTTAATGAATATTTTAAATGTGAGCCTAGTCCGCCACCAGGTACCACCGGGGTGTACCACGGCGTCACAGAAAACAGGCGTGAAGCAGTATTTGCGCTGTGTTTCGCCGTTTAAGTGAAAATATCGGAGGATTATCCCGAAATTTACCAACTGCGGCTTCGGCCTCGAGTAGGAGAAGGCACGATGTGGTTTTTAGTCAGTTGGTACCTGACACTCACTCTCGCTTCAGAAGAAGAAGTCAGTTGACGATTTAATTTTGTTCCCCACATAAAAGAGGAGTTAGCAAACTAACTATGCGAAGTTGCAATCTACCTACTTAAACGACTTAAATCCAATTGAATAAGAATCACATGCTCAACTGTCGAGCTTCCATTATCAAAACACACTTTATATCCTAGTGTTTTGTTTATCTTTTGCTAAACGAACAAATACAATGACTTAGATGTTCCTTGTATAGCCAAAAACATACCGTTTGTTTATTTTCATACGTTCTAGCCTTGTCATGGACGTCTGGACAAAACAATAAGGAAATTGTTTTTTTTCTTTGCATCAAGAACCATATTCTGAGTGATAGTCTTGACTGCATATTAAATTAAATTTTTAAATAAATTAATAAATTTATATAAAATTAAAAATGGAAATTTTAATCGAATTTATTTTGTCTACTTTAGTATAAGTTGTCTATACAACAAAATAGGTATATTAGCAAACTTCAAAAATAGAACTGAATCTGTTTATTCTTCTTTTTATCGAAGTTAAAGTTTTTTTAATATATAATATTTATTTTCATACTAGCTACTCACTCGCGATTTCACCCGCTACTCAGCTCCTACAGATCATAGCGTGAAATGTTATAGACTAAAGACTTCCTCGATAAATGGACTAACAAACACATAAATAAATTGGAAACAGAATACAGAAAAATTTATAAAAATTATTAATATATATGAGTATAAAGTATAGATTTATAAACAGAAGCCATTGTACTTATTTGGATTTACTGATTTATATGCTATAAATTTTCAATTTTAGTTTGTTTATGAAAACGTTCGTAAAAAGGCACATGGATCACCTTTCTCAGCTCCAGAGCCACTACAGGTTATATGCCGAAAATTTGGACAATATCAATCTCTAAAACCTATTTCTAAACAAACAATAACGTGAATACGGTAGTTTCCAACTAGTCAAATGCAATACTTTTATCCAAACGTCAAAAACGATACTTTTCTATGAAATTTGTATGAAAAACTGAGGTATGACGTCATAACAGTTTTGCGTCAAATAGCTTACTTATTTCTGAATAATGAGCTAAAAAAATCTAAAACTTAGTGTATTGATCGATCGATGAATAAAAGTATAGTTATTTTTCAATATTTTATTGTATTAAAACGTCGAATTAATTTATTTTTGACCTAGGACACTACCCAATTGACTTGCGTTAATGAAAGCAGACATAAAATGAGCGTTTCTTAATTGTTTCTTTAAAAAAAAAACGCTAGGATTTTCTCCTATGTGTCGTGGGTGCGGTTATACCTAAACATACAATTTCACATACACATCACACCCGGACCCAAATCAACAATTTATGGGTTCTGTGCGGGAATCGAACCCGCTACACGATGCATGACAGCCAGTTGCCATGGCAAGTCAAGTTTCTGATGAACTTGTCACTATGACAAGACAATCGAGCATGATGAAAACGATTAATTGATCGAAATATATTTTATAATTGTCATGCTGACTTATACCTTGATCTTTGTACCATTTCATGTCTCAATTAAACAAGTTATTTATTGCGTATTGTTTTATAATAAGATTGAATCGATTTATCTTATGTCAATAAACTCGTATTAATCTTCTTGGTGATTACGTTTGATCATCAGAAAAAAAGGCTACATTGTTTATTGAGTATTCTCAATATATCAATCCAGAAAGCTTTGATCGATCACGACTCGAATCGACTTTTAGATTTATCACTAGTGTAAAAGTTAGCAAAATTAAAATATGCTTTAATTCATCAAACTCCAAGCGAACGCCAGCGCACCTACTTTCTTACTATTCTGTCTCATATTACCACTATTGAAAGGTTCGTCATACTAATTTTAATATCACAAATAACGAATGCTCACTATCACTCTTATTAAATATTTTTTTTTATTACAGAACACAAAATGCTCAGAAAAAGTCTGCCTTTCGAGTATAATGAGCATCCCCGGCCGAGAAGAGAAGGTTCGCACTCCAGAAGAAGTTTACCAAGAAGCACAAGTTTTTCTAAGACAATACTACGCTTCTATTCGTCGGTAAGTCAAATGTTTAAAGCTTAACTTGGAATATTAATTAAAATTAAGTAGTTTTAGGCATTATAATTCAACAGCAAGCGAAGTAAGTAAGTAGTAAACAGTTAAGAAAATAAAGATTAATTCACAGATTTGTGATTGTACAGAATGTGATGTAACACCAATTTGTACTGCTTATAATGAAGTCATATATTTGTAATTGTTGGTCGACCTCAATAACCAAATAATGGTGACTTTGTACTGAACCAATCTTTATTTTCACCTGGACGGAAGGTGCACTGCCCGGGTAGCCAGCTGCTGCGTACCGTGCCGCGCGTTCGGTTTCATTATAAAACAACACTTTTTGAGATCCACAAATATCGTTGCAGTTTTGGGTCTGAATGTGGCATGTATGTGAATTTATACGATTGTAACACTCACAACGAAGGAGAAAATCCTAGTGTGGGGCAATATAAAAAAAAATCATATACTACTTATATATGTATATAAAAAGCATATTCAAAATACGCTAAATATAAGTAATCAGACTTCTCCTTTGACCTCTACGATAATCATATTAAATAGCTGAGGAATTTATCTATTTTCCTGTTATTAAAAAAAGCTAATTTGCATCTTATCCTGTACTGGCCTTGCTAATTTAATTAATGAAACCAAAGCTTCGATAGAATCTTAAGCGATTATTTGAATTTTTCAAACTTTAGCGGTTTGACTGCTCTATAAGTCACAGTATTTAATATTATTTTTAGAGGATTTTAATCTGACTACGAGTGTAATGGAAAATGTTTACCGTTTCACATATAAGTATGTACCTATAACACCGTAAGCACGGGTCTGCGGACGGCGAGTAGGTAAGGGTAGCTTGCCGCCCGACCAGAACCAGACCAGACCGGAGTGTACGGCGCGTAGCGTTCCAAGCGCGCCTCAAAGAGCCAATAAACCACCATAGACTGGGGCTGATGTTTAGTCGGGGTTGCGGGGCAAGCGTAATGAGGCACCACGGCCTTGGCCTAGAGCAGGAGAAGAAATGGGAGTTTTAGCCAGTAAGAGTCGGACAGTCCCTCACGCCTCACCCTGGGCTAGGAGAAGCCATTTGATGATTATCCCCTAACAAAAAAAACTATGAACGTCTTTATGTTTAATTGGTCTGAGAGCCCATTACGAGTTTCTAACCGCTTCGATAGTATAATTTTAATTAAAATTTGTATGGAGGCTACTGCAATTGAGCTGTTGTCATTCCGTGCCGAATCATTCACAAATCCTAGTAAACGCCAACGCAATTTACGGAAAAATACACAAAGAACTCAGTTCTTTAAACCAAAACTCGTCGTTTTATATGGTTGAAAAGTTGTGATGACTTGCATTTTTTACAACAAATTTACATAGTATAATTCTATTACGTCATAGGACAACGCCTCATTAATTTTTTTGTGGAAGTAACAGTAGGTAATAATCATTATTAATTATGTTTCTCGCTGCGATTTTTACGAAACTTTCTGCATCTCACAGCAAAACTTAAAATAAATGATCTTTAAGCGTCAGTATTTCCGAACCGATACGACATTCAAACTTTCAAAAAAGGAGTCACATGCGCTTTCCTGGCTTTTAAAGAAACGTACCCATTCTTAAAAGGCTGACAAAGCGCCTTTAGATCCTTTGGCGTTGCCGATGTCCATGGGCAGTGGTGATCACTTACCGTCGGGTGATCCGAGAGCTCGTTTACCTAGTATTTCAAAGCACCTGAAGTCACTAATGCAGTACACATTTGTGACTTCTTCTTTGTGACTTTATCTACAAAAACGTTTTCTCTTATGTACCCATTATACACTTAGGGTATAAAGTAGATTTACGCTTAATGTATGTATGAATGTGTGCAGCTTTATTTAAAACTTTAAGGGTGAACAAAAGACGGTATGCTCTGAAATGTTATATGGAGGTACACTTAAACAGAAAAACTGTTGAACTGGTTTAAATATTTGAATCAGGAATTCATTTCCTTTGTCTAATATAAAAGGTAGGGAGAATCGAAGAAATTATTTGATTGGTTGGAAAAACGGATTGAAGTTATGCATTTTTATTTTTCTTATTAGAAGACAAGGGTTGATGGGTAATTGAAATGAATAAAAAGAACGCAAGAAACAAAAAAGAAAAATCGATTATTACATATAATGTCACAGTCAACACATACACGTTTAACGAGCCTTTTAATTAACAGCCTAGCCTGATTACACTGTAACATGCTGGCAGCTATTTATGTCTGTCGGCGATACGTTTTCTGTGCGGTTTACAGTTCTTACTGACTGAATGAGAAATTTAGCGATTCAATTAAACGCCTAGTCATTCAGGTACTAGTTGGATGGCTAATAATACAAGATAATAAGCATAAAAACAGGTTTATGTACGATCTTACTAATATTCTAAATGCGAAAGTTACGATGTTTGGATGTTTGTAACTCAATCATGCCAAAACGGCTGGACGGATCTGAATGAAATTTGGCACACGCATAGGATAGACACACTTTTTATTAACATACCACGCGGGCGAAACCGCGTGCGGAAGGTAGTTGACAAATAAAAGTTCTATTTATTTAGAGAAAGTATTTTTTTATAACAATTGTAACAAACGGTTCATAAAAATTCTCTTAATTAGCATGCGCCACCACAAGGAATACAAGAAGACCAGGAGTCAGTGTCTATTAAAAAGGCGAAATAAAAAACTGGCTTTGGGAATATTGGCTTTAATTAAATTGGAAGTAATTTTAAAGGAATGCAAAGGTACCGAGTATGTGTTTGTGTTTATGTGAACGAATGAATAAATAAACAAAATAATTTGATTGTTTAATTTGCTGTTGATTATAGCATTTTTTTCCTGAATATTGTGACTACTTTTAGGTCCTGATACTCGTATACTAATTTTATTTTCTTGTAGAATGTTCGAGATTTTGTATATATATTTATCTTTTATTTAAATGTTAAACCTGAAATTAAAATATACTAATTCATAAATTATAGCGATTCTAAATATATTTTTATCACTTAAAAATGATAAATTATTACAAAATTAGTCCAGTTTTTTATATTGCTTATTTTTATTGTCAAATTATTTATTTTTCCAGAGAAAATTCAGAAGCACACAGAGTAAGATTAGAAGAAGTAAAGAAAGAGCTGGATGAAAAAGGAACATACCAGTTGAAGTCTTCGGAGCTTGTGTTTGGAGCTAAATTGGCTTGGCGTAATGCTACCAGGTGTATTGGAAGAATACAATGGAAAAAATTACAGGTGAGACCAAAATTCTTGTTTTAATTTTAGCATATATGTGTTAAAATACATTACGCTGTATATTTGTATACTTTTAAAGTACAAAAGATGGTTTATATTTTTTAATCGTTATTACATTTCCTTCGTCTAATATAAAGGTAGGGTAAACTTGCCTAATTCGTACCACTTAAGGAGAACCTCGAAAATTTTGAAAATGAACAATGATACACAATTATTTATATTAAGTAGTTACAATTAAACTAATGTTCTATTAGTATTCCGATAAAATATAACATAAATCTAATAAATTTCTGTGAAATAAACAATTTTCAAAAACTTAAAAAAAGTACGATTTAAGACCATTGATCTTAAATCGTACCAGTATATTCTTAAATCGTACTTTGAGATCCTATCATTGTTTTACAGTCTTTAAAAATCACAATCTTAATAATCTTCTACTCTTTTTAATCTTAATGTACCTAGATTACCTAATTCTTATTAATACAGCGGATGGTCTTTTCCAAATCTTGAAAGTCATCGCAGTAATAAAATTTAGTTTTTTTTAATTCGTCTGCACATAGCTCATGTACCCATACTTTCACAATTACTGGATAAAATAATGTTTTTTTTAGTTTTTTTAAATAAAAACACAAACTAAAAAATAAAGTAAGTAATTAATATTTACTGTGAAATTAAACATTGTTTTCCTAAATCGTAAGTACGTACGTTTTAAGAAGTTGCTGCGAGTACGAATTAGGCACAAGTATCAAATGAATTTCAAATTAGCCGCAAAAAAAACTATCAACGAACAAGCCGGCTTTACCATGTGCAATATATTCACAAATATACGTATAAATATATAATAAACAGTTAAACAACTTACGAGCGGTATACTTAGAAGACAGTTCTTGTGAAGTATGCAAAAAAATTACTCAAAAAGTGAGAAAAAGTGAGAAAAATCTTATCCGTTCAATATTTTTGTCGGGAGCAACGTAACAGGTGTTTATTTGTCATATGGCAATCTGGCCGACTATTATTGACATTTTATGCCATAAGAGGCGTTGGTAACTATTACCCATGCCGAGATATAGACGAGGTACGATTTAGGCGCAGGTACGAATTAGGCAAGTTTACCTATACATGCGAAGAATAGAAAAAATATTTGATTGGTTGATAAAACGGACTGAAGTTACGCATTTTTTATTGACTGTAGTCTATCTTTGTACTAAATTTCATTCAGATCTTAGACATCTTTGCAGCTTTGAAGTGTGTGTTTTAAGAGATTTTCGTTCCAAATATTATACAAAATTCTTCAATATTATACTTAGCCATTTTTAAACGAGTATGTTGAAAAAATTTGAATTTTCTATGTATACTCTGTAGTATTTAGGGATCCTCGCGTGACTACTTCTATTTGCCAAAATTCCTTCCTCTCAGAAGACCAGACGTTAACATATGACGTCACTTAAACATACAAATACTGGCACTTCAAGCTACCCATTACAGACAAATTTCTGCATTGAATTTTCGACCCTTACACAAAGGTATTAAGTTAATATTTGATTAAAGATTCTTGGTACACTAGGATAGCTTGTTTTGCTGGTGTGGTGTGCTATCACTCGCTATACACAAACACAAATTAGATTTGGTTGATCCTGAAGAATCTTGTGCGTTTCCCTTTCTTTGAAAAAGACTTTTACATGACGAATTTATTTATTTCGTAGGCATTATTCTCTCATCTTTTTTTCTTCCATTTGTTTTTGGATAACAACGTGTATAAAAAGTATACTTATATCTACTTTCACGTGGTCATAATTTTAATAGTCGTAAATTTTTCATTTAGGCCTCCTTTTCCTAATTGCTGTGACGACTTATTCTATTTTTCGCTAATACATAATTTCCATTCTTAAATCTCACACCTGTAAAAGGCCTGCAACGCCTTTGTAACTGGTGCAACTATTGGTATTGCGAATGTCCAAGGGTGTCGCTGATTGCTTACCAAAACCTAATCATTCTTCCTGTAATCACTCCTTACAACAAAAAAAGTAAGGATTAAGTTATAATATACTTGTTTTACTGTGCTTTTTTATCTTATATGTCAGTATTTTAGCCGAGTTTGCGGAGTTAGTGCAATGTGGCATCACAGCCTCGGCTTAAAACAGGGTGTTCTAAGTCAGTAAGAGAGTAACATTTTCTCTCGCCTTACCCTGCGCGAGAGAAGTTACCCATACCTACAGTTATTCAATGATTTTCTCCTGACAAAAATAAATGACAATATTTTTATAATATATTGACCAATATCTGTAAAAGTAATATGATACAATCCAAGAGTCTTACTAACTTAGGTAAATGCCCATTTTTCTAAAAATTTGTCTAAATTCAACACTGCTTTTTAGAACCAGTACTATCTTTTACGCGTCAAAACACAACGTGAATTTTGTTCCACGCCGGATTTTAGGGCCATAGTATCATTAGGCACTTTTTGTGAGAGGAAAATCATCAAATAACTTCTCAAGCCCAGAATAAGGCGACAGGGAGTGTCAGACTACTAAAACTGCACCCGATCTTTCTCCTACGCCAAGACGGGGCCATGGTACCATAATTCACTGGGCCTGGCCTTTGGATACTTCGGCCGAAGTCGACAATTCAAAGCATATAAGCCTCTAACAGCTTTGTACCACGGACGCATTTACTTTAACAAAATCAAAAGTGAAAATGTAAAGCGTTCATCGAGTGTGTAGCTGTAACATTTCTTACTGTAAAGAGAAACAAACTTTTAATTAGGGTGCCAGCTTACAACTTTATAACGAGCCACAAACTAGATGTCATTAGTCGCTCTTACTGAGACATATACAAGTTATGTGGCTTAACTGAAAACACAATTGTTGATCTACTATTGTCATAGTTAGAACAAAATGTAAGATTAGTTAATTATGTAGTCCAAGGTTAATTATATCTGAAGTTTAAATCACATGGCGAAATGACAAAATAGTCAGAGTTCTGGTTGAGCAGAACGCCATGAATGTTTCTGGCATCTGATGGTCTCAAGTCAAAAAGCCGTCCGTATCTCAATACGCTACCTATAAAATTAAATGGCAGCTGATAAGTGACTGAGTCAGGAAAGTGCAGTTTATTTGTATAGATTATAATTGCTGCGACGAAGTATCCAATAGCCACGAAGTTTCCAAATTGGCAGTCGCCAAAGTCTTTCCCAGTAAGTTAAATCTTAAAGTGTACTAATGAGGAAGACCACGTAGTTTAGAGCACTCTGTAGTCTGCTGTCGTCAGGCAAAAAACCACCACATCAAACAATCGCTTTACTGCCACGCGACTAAAAAAACTGTTTCCAATATAGGTGTTTATGTTTCACATCTTGTCGAAATAGTTGAAAAAAACAAAAAAAAAGGTGAACTGTCCCGTTCCTTGCAGACATTTTATTGAAACCTTGACCTTCCAAGAAATGACTTTTTTATATGAATCTACTATTTTATTATGGAAACCGAAAGTTGTAACAGGTTTTTAAAAAACCAGAACGATCCAAAATTATCTCAGTTCTATTAAATAAGACCCAAACAAAAATAAATTTAGACTTTATTGCAATTGCAGACTTAGCGCTTTATCTGGCGAATAAGACTGGTCATTTTAAACATTCTACCTTACTTGCCGGGATACATAGTTATCTTAAAGGGCATCACACTATTTTGAACTCTATATTCAAGGTCAATAAACATCATCTACCGTACTCCGCGCCACCAGACCCATAAGGCCACTATTACAACATTCCAAGACTAGCTAGTTTCCTACAGGTTTTCTTAATCTTTTAGTATTTTAAATAAACCTGTCTTGCATTACCATAAAATGTTTAATTAGTGTGTCTGCTTTGTAAATAGCACTAGGATGCATTTATAATTGGAGATCCAGAGATTACTTGTGGCAATTGCAATTATTTTACAAAATATATTTAAATCAGTAATTCACAGGGTAATTATGAAAAACAAGAATATTGTAACAATAATAATCTGTTGGGTAAGGAAATGTAGGTACACTGAATAGTCAAGACAATAAAAATGAAAATTAATTATGCATTTCTAATTGTCTGGTACTGGTCCTCCTAAATGTAGACACCTATTTTTGACACTTATTTTATTGATATAACTTTTATTACATACCTACATATTTAAATTTATTAATGTCATGTATTTATTAATAACTTTGCATGTATAAATTTGTAAAAACGATGCAGTTAAAATGCAGATAGAACCAGTTTCATTATATAGATTTAATTTTACATATTTTATTAAAGTAAGTAAATTATTTTGCTACCCGATAACCAGAAATAATATTGTATTGCCTAGCAACATTTTAAGTAATAAATATTGTTTTTGCGTAAAATAGCATAACAACCTAAGCTACATCGACATTTTTTTCTATTAAATTCTAAACTCTATTGTAAAGTTATAAAGTTCAATATGAAATGTGTACCATTTTATGTTGCAATGTAAGACAAAGGTATGCTTTTGTTCCCTGTCTTCCCAAACTAAAGTCAAGAAATTCTTTTGTAGATGTTCGACTGCAGGGAAGTAACTACGGCTAGCGGAATGTTTGAAGCTCTCTGCACTCACATCAAGTATGGAACGAATAAGGGACAGATAAGGTGAGAATTTGTTTTATTTTCTTCTTTTTTTGCCAATAAGCTGGCATTTTGCTGCTATCATGCCTGGTGATAAGCGATGATGTGACCTACGATATAGCATGCCTTCCCATAAGCAATCTATTCTTTCGAGCCTTAAATACACGTATGCTATACTTCGGGAAACACAGATTCTGGCCAAAAATGGCACTCCTTAGCGGTTCTGATTATAAAACTGGAAGCGTGCGTGTGGGTCCACCATGAAGCGATTGTTCGCACGAGACTTCAACTACGGCTGGATCGGTAATTTTTTTTGTTAGAAAACCTCTATGTCATCGATAGCGTTGCCATTTTTGGAATCACATGATCCCGGACCTTTGAAGGCGTACGAGGGGCCGAAGCCAACTCGCAGAGGCCCGTTGAACAACTTTAATATACAGTGCGGCCGACGTATCTTGGCGAGTCTGAAGTTAGCCGATTAGCTGCGCAGTACACAATTTTGTTCCTAAAAGATCCATTGCGCAGACAAACAGCTAACTTCAGATTCGCCAAGATACGTCGGCCGCACTGTACCTAAGTGAGATGGGACATTTTTATTATTATTATTTATTTTTATCATACCATTTCTCAAACATTTACAAAAACAAAAAAAGACTTCATGTCAGATATATCTTAATCACTATTGTTACTAAGTGGATACATTCGTTTATAACTATTAATTTGACTAGTTTGTATAGTAACGAAAAATCGTTTATACTTTTCATTATTATAATTACCTAAACAAAAAAAAAATATCTTTCTCTGTTTCGGAAGTATCTATTTCGGACCGATACTTCACTCTCATAATTTTAACCCGCAACGCAACTGTGCGATTAAGTATTTTTTTGAATATTGGTTATAATATAGATATTAAAATCAGAGAACGCACTTCTTCCTGCAGCTCATATTCAATGTCAATCTTTGTCTAAAAATTTCTGTATGAAACCGAATTTTTGATACAAATTCCAAAAACGTCTACAATCCTACATCAAGGTTTTGGATGGACTTCGGTTATTCATTTTGATCATTAGTCGGCTCATACTTCATATCGTCAAAATAACCTTGATGGTATTAGAAACAGCTGTTCTCATCTGAAAAAACACAACTTAACTGAGTAATTAATTTCAGGTCAGCAATAACAATATTCCCTCAACGTACAGATGGCAAACATGACTACAGAATATGGAACCCACAGCTCATCAGCTACGCTGGGTATCGCATGCCCGATGGCTCGATACTAGGAGATCCAGGGCGTGTGGAGTTTACAGATGTAAGAATATTGTATTTTTAGTATTTTAAGTGGGTAAAAATTAAACAAAATTTTGGGTAATGATCGTTAGTGCTGGTCTGGATAATTGGAGCCAATTCCATTAATTTTGGTTATTCTACGAGTAATGGATGTTACACGAAGGTTATATTATAATAGTAAGTACATGAAGCTAGTTAGAAGTTTTTGTATATCGATATTATTCTCTCGCATCTTTTCGCATCATCATCAGCCTATAAGTGCCCAATGCTGAGCAAAGGCCTCTTCTCACATGGAGAAGGTTAGCATTATTGCGGGTTGGCGATTTCAAACTTATAATTAGAAGTTTTAGGTCCAGGTTTCCTCACGATGTTTACCTTCACCGTATGTCAGTCGTGTCTAAATAATCATAGAAAGTACATATAACTCGGAAAAAGTCACATGAGTACTTGCCAGGCAACCTCTAGGCCACCACCACATATCTTTTCGCATATTGTCTATAAATTGACAAAATTCCAAAAAGTAGGTACTTTAATTAATTTTTGGAACCAGATACTCTAATAATATAATAAAATTAAATACCATTAGTGCATAATGTCAAATACGAGACTTCTTCGTAATATGCATAAAAATATGAATTCAGTATACATATATACCTACATTTATTTTTCCGCAATAAAAACACATCATATCAATTCATATGACTAGCCAAAATACTGACATGTGGTATTTAAAAACTTGATTCGAATACTTGTTAAATGTTGTTTCAAACAACGAGCTCCTTTTGTGACTTATTTTGTTCACCATCCTACTCTACATTCCACTTAGGATGAGAATCGCTTGGCACAACTGTATAGAGTAAAACCACGATATTGATGACAATTTGCCATAAAATACAAATTGACTGATACACCTGCATACAGTAAAAACCATTGATGAGAATTACAAAAGGCATAAAATGTAAAAATCTCTTCCTATCTGCACGAGTAGCCAATTCGACCGCAGTGATACCGGAGCCTCACAGCACACCGATATGAAACAACGCTTAGGTTATGTTTTGGATTATGAATGAATGAGGGCACAGGGCGCGGGTCTTACCCAATCCATTCCTACATTCCTTAATCCGCAAATCCTCATATTTGTCATCCACTAAAGAGTTTATTGTAACTCTAATGTTGTGAATATGGCGACACCGATTTTTTACCACCAAGTGGTAGAGAGAGTGTCAGACTCTTACTAACTAAAAACAAATCCCGTTCCTTCCCCTGCTCTGGGCCAAGGCCGCGGTGCCTCATTGCACTTGCCTAGCAACCTTGGCTGAATATCAGCCGATATGTGGTGGTTTATTGGTCACGCCTTACCCTGGGCAGGAAAAGCCATTTGAAGCCATTAATTATAAATTAATCTTAATAATTAGGCTTAATAATTTTCCCCTGACAAAAAAACACCAAGTGCTGGTTTGGACCACTATGCTACAAAAATTAATTATAATATGCTGAGGTTGGGGTTGATTCCTAAAAATCAAGCCTAAAATACGGTACTCTAACTAATAAGTCTACAATAGGAATCCTTTCTGGAAGTCATCACGGGATGGGGCAACCACAATACAAAATATTATAAATACTTATTAGCACTTAAACATTTTCTTACTTCCATTGAAGAATAATCTATTTTTCCCTATTAGGTATGTTTGAGATTGGGTTGGAAGCCAAAGGAAAAGACTGCATGGGACATATTACCGTTGGTGCTCTCAGCTGATGGAAAAGACCCGGAATACTTTGAAATACCAAGAGAAATTATTATGGAAGTACATATGGATCATCCTAAGTGAGTAGCCTAATCATCATTGACTAAGGAATAAAAAATCCAGTTCAATCAAATCCAATCCAATAATAAAAATTAAGAAAAGTTAGCACACACAATTTAAATTCAAACATAATGCGACCAACAAATACGTTTTTAATTTCATTTGGTACTCATTCCCAAAATATTAGGGTCTAATTAATTTATTTATTTAAAAATTACATTTTCGAAAAAATATTTATTAGAGCATTACATAAAAACATGAAACAAAAAGTCTCTCTCTGGCTCTCTAAACTCTTTTGCAAATTTGTTCTGATGTAGTTAACTATTTAGACCTTCATATATTGCTTATGAGTGCCAAGTTTTATTAAAATCGATACAGCAGTTTCCATGATTATTTATTTAAAAATTAGTGTCGCGTTGTCGCTTTTGCGCTTCCTAATCCTAATCACTATTCCACGCGAACGGAGCCGCGGGCAAAAGCAAGCAATCTTTATTAGAAAGGACACATATTAAATATAATTCATTTATATTTCTTTTAGCTATGAATGGTTTAATGATCTCGGTCTCCGCTGGTATGCTTTACCAGCCGTCTCTGGCATGAGAATGGACTGTGGTGGTCTAGAATTTACTGCGACTGCCTTTAATGGCTGGTATATGGGCACTGAAATTGGCTGCAGAAACTTCTGTGACAGCAACCGTTTTAATATTCTCGAGGTAAGATTTATTTTTAATTTTCTTATCTTATCTTATATATATTTCTTATATTATACACTAAATTATATTATTGTTTGCCATTTTCATTGAGAAACTGTTTTCTAGTGATAACGGGAATGTCACGTAGGTAAAGAATTGATTTAATTAAATTATATTAATATTTTAATGTAATTTTTATTTAATGCAATAAAATTCGCAATTTTAATGGGCTAATTTTGAAGAACAATAATTTTGTTCTGCTATTCTAAGCCAATTTTTCTTCAAAAGAGGACTCTTTAGAACAGAAACATGTAGAACGATTAGAAAATGATATATTGTATTTTTTGTACAGGCGGTGGCAACAAAAATGGGTCTAGACACAAATATGTCAGTATCCTTGTGGAAGGACAAAGCGTTAGTGGAAGTGAACATTGCAGTATTGCATAGCTTTCATAGGGATAACGTCTCCATAGTAGATCACCACTCCGCTTCGGAACAGTTCATGAAACACATGGAGAACGAGGGGAGAGCTCGGTAAGACCTTTAAATTATAAAAACATATTTTCTAAGTTTTAAAAGTCTTTTCTCTATGTAATATAATGTGACTTCAATTCCAAACTGTTTGGCGCGTCCTGTCCAGTCGTCGCGCGTTCGATTTCACCACTGAACAAATCTTTGTGTGATCTACTGTTGTGGTTTCGGTTCTGGGTGTGATGTGTACATACACCACATATATTGTATGTTTATAAACGCATCTCCTAAGAAAATGCTAGTATGGGGCAATGTTTTCTTAAAACAAACACAATAACAAATAATGATCTTCCACCTGATTGACTTTAAAACTTTATTTTACTTTTAGGGGAGGTTGTCCATCTGATTGGATCTGGATAGTCCCACCGATGTCGTCGTCTCTGACTCCAGTGTTCCATCAAGAGATGGCTTTATATTACCTCAGACCTTCATACGATTATCAGGTAATTTCATCGTTAAACGGTTCCTTCAAAACAATGCCATAGTCACGTCCCGGAATGAATGTTTTTTTGGTATTTTTATGAAGTACTGAGGCGACTCTGACTCCTTGGTCTATTAATGAGATGTTAGGGTGGTGACCGGGCTTTTCTTTGCCAGGCTCTTGCCTTAGGTTAGCAAAATAATTTGAAACTGAATAACGCAAATTTCTGAAAATTGCTGCGCTTTCATAATGACCATTAGTTCTAATCTAGCTAAACCTAGAAGAACAAAGAAGAATATATCATCATAAATAAAATTGCACACTCGTATGTATCCAGATTGTTGTGTTAATCCCGGATCATTACTCATCTTCCTCGCCGTTTCCCAATTATTCAGGGTCGGGCCATGGGTCGGGATCATTTCTAACGTAACATGACACTAGCCGTAAATTCTTCGATAAATACGGAATCACACTGAATAAATAGTGGTTGCATGGTCAGAGAAACAAAGTTTTTTTCACGTTTATAAATATACTTAAATATTTGTTTATTTTTCTCCTTATATTGCCTTACTTTTTCTTTCAAGTCGTACACTCTTATAAGATATGTGTATGCTAGAAAATGTAATATTTTATTCGATTTGAAAAATTTAATTTATTTTTCCAGGAACCAGCTTGGAAGACCCATCAATGGTCGAAATCCGATGGCGTAAAAACTGTGCGCAGAAAGTTCCACTTTAAGCAGATTGCTAGAGCTGTCAAGTTCACTTCCAAACTGTTTGGCCGCGCTCTCTCTAAGCGCATCAAGGCGACCATTTTGTTCGCATCCGAGACAGGCAAATCAGAACAGTATGCCAAGGAATTAGGAACCCTTTTCGGACACGCCTTCAATGCACAGGTAAGTTTTTATTTTGTTGTTTGAATAGGGATGAGTTAAAGTTGTGTGAAGCATTTTGTTGCTCTCAAATTAGACGATTTCGGGCAACTGTGGAAATAGTTTTCTTTTTAAGGGCAATTTAAGTGTATAAACGTGATTACTCTTATTGCGTGTACTTTGAGAAAAGAAAAAGTTGAATGTAAGGTATCTTTTTGTGCGAAGATATTATATTACTGACAACATTGGCAATTTAATGTTATAACCCTTAAAATTCGTCTACAGGTACAATGCATGTCCAAATACGACATGTTTTCGATTGAACACGAAACTCTCCTCATAATTGTTACATCAACCTTTGGGAATGGAGAGCCACCAACAAACGGAGAGGTATGTTAAAGTACAAGTTTTATTTACTATTTATTATTTACTTATTTTTTTATTAATTTGTGTACAGCATATAAGATGTATATTATAATAGAAAATAATTAAAGACGAAGGTACCGCTTGTTCCTTTTGGAATTTCTTTCTGTAGTAATGCGACAGGATGCTCCAACGAAACACAAGACGCAGTGTGTTAACAAATAATACCAGAAATAGGGAAAATAAACTTAAAGCTGAAACTAAAATAACAAACACAATGAAAACAATAAGAATATATAAATGAAATATACCTACTTATATGCATCCAATGTGTACATAAGATAATATTATATTTGTTTTAATAATACGTACATATTTAATCACTACTAACATATAAAATAGTGACTAACTTAATTTTCTCATATTTTAGGACTTTGCAAAACATCTAGTCGAAATGTTAAACAATGAAAAAGAGAACCAAGACGATATAATGGAAATGTGTTCTGCGTAAGTATCCCAAGAAAATATCTTAGAAATAATATCTAATATAATATCTTAGAAATAAAATGGTACCGTGCCAAGTGACTGCGATAAATGACCATTTAATTTTGGGTTCGAGATTTTTCTAAGTAAAATTTCAAACCTTTAAAACTTTACAACACATTTTATTGCAGGGGTTACAAAACACCAGCAAAATCCCCAGCCCTGTTAAGAACCAACAGTTTCTTGGCATCCAGTAGGGATTACAATCGCCAGCTTACTCGATTGGAGTCTAACAAAAGTAAGTTATTTTTATTTTCTGATTTAGGTATATCATTTTAAAACTGAACTGAACTAAAGATATCTTTTAATGACACACAATTTTGTATGGATGAATACAGCATTTGTATGGAGCGACTACTTACATTTCAAACTCATTTGAAGAACGCTTTGACTAAGTCACTTCCTATAATGCTTTTCATATAAATGAAAACGAATAAATCAATTAGTATATTAACTATGAAATTTGGTAAAAATACTAACAGTATTTTGGTAATTACTATCAGTTGTTTTTTTGCATCTCTTAAATAGGCTAGAAACATCAAAGGCATCTCGAATGCTTTACTAATCAAAACTGATATGAAACAAGGAAGAAATGAAGAAATGTTGTTTCTTCAAGTCTTATAAATCCTTTTTATTTCTAGGTGTAGTTACCGCAACATCGTCAGTGGAACACATAGCTCCTCTAAGCAACGTACGCTATGCAGTATTCGCATTGGGCTCCAGTGCATACCCAAAGTTCTGTAACTTTGGTAAATTCATTGACAACATCATTGGTAACCTCGGCGGTGAAAGAATCATGGAGTTATGCTGTGGAGATGAAATGTATGGACAGGAACAACGGTTCCGTACGTGGTCGTCAGAAATATTCTTAGTAAGTAGATTTGAACTTGAAAAAAGTGGTATTAGAATGTAAGTTTAAACTTTAAAGACTAGATAAAACGCGGAAAATGTTTTTAATGTGATGATGATCTTAAAAACACCTTACAGAAATTTTTAAGAATAATATTTATATCGTTCATAATTCTTTTCAGGAATCCTGCAGGACATTCTGTCTCGATGAAAGTGACATGATCAGGGAAGCACAAAATGCCTTGGGAATCATTCCAGTTACAGAGGAGACTGTACGGTTTGGCAGACCAGCGGCAGAATTGCCACTAATCAATGCTTTAGAAGCAGGATTTAGAAAACAACTAGTAACTTACAAAGTAGAAGAGAACAAAACATTGTCTGAACATAAAGAAACAAATGCTCAAACGATATTTGTTGACCTAAAACCAACGGTAAGAAAAGAAACGTATCTATTATATGCTTACATATAAAGACAAGCTAAATATCGATAATAAGAAGAAAAAAACGATGAGACAAGATCTATAAATTATTCAAACCACTATTTAAATGTTGTTATTAATTAACACACGTGTATAATACACAAACTAAGTCAATTAATTTATCATGGAATCTCCGAACTGTGTCAAAATGAAGCGACAACCTATTAACATATTTTTAAATTGCAGAGCGAAATAAAATACGTTCCTGGTGATCATATTGGTGTTATGCCAGTGAATCGAAAAGAGATAGTAGATGCTGTTCTAGAAAGACTGAGAGGAGTAGAAGATCTTGACAAAATAGTACAATTAAAAATCATGAAGGAAACCCTAACACCCACAGGTAACGACAATTATTCGAAACTCAATGTAAACGATATGGTATTAAGAATGGATTTGGAAAAACAAACAGATTGTAGGAATGCTAAATATTATGTACACTTAAAAACTGGTTTCGTATTAAACGAATACGTAGAAGGAAACTATATTTAACGAAATCAACAAAACGGCATTTCATGTGCGTCTATGAAGCCTATAATTTGGTTTATTTGAAAGGGTTTTTTCCCACTTTTTATTAATTTTAATAAAATAAGATTTAGTTCTGCATAAACAAAACGGCATCCCACGCACGTGTGTTTCATAGATGTCATTCAGATAAAAAACCAAACTACATGACCAAGGTCGTTCGAAAAAAAATGTGTTTCCCAACATTTGTTATCCTCGAAACAAATTTTGTCAAAGTTATGTGTACATTTTAATCATGTCGTCTTCCAAACTATGTTTAAACAATTTAAAGGATTAAGTGTAAAGAGATAACTGAGACAAATAAGTCCAAAACAAGCTTACTTGCCCATTTATTACCTGATATTGGGATAATGACATAGGGAAAAACTTTCAGGTACTGTAAAAACTTGGGAAAGATACGAAAGATTACCACCAGCATCTATTCGAAATATCTACACAAGGTTCTTGGACATTACAACGCCACCTACAACTAAAGTACTCAAGTACCTAGCCGAGTCTTGTACTGATGAGGCGGAAACTAAACAAATCAATGAACTGGTTACCGTAAGTACATAGTTACGCAAACTTTAATACGATAATTATACTATTTGCTTACGTGGTCTCATCTGTTTCCTGATTATATTGCGTAGATTCATAAAATCATATGTATTCTATGCTAATGTTGAAAATGCGACTGATTCTATGAATCGATGGCTGGTTATCAAATGGAGTGAATCGAGCTCGGAAAAAGAAGTTTAAGAATTTAATTGTGTAGACTCGAAATCAAATTCATTTCGATTTCATTGTGGCGACAAGTTTATGTTTCTACCACAAAGAAACTAATTACTAACATAAACTAAATGACAATAGAAATAAATTCGGCTTAAAATCAACTGTTCTCAAGCTAATTCCGTTTTGATTCGAGTGGCATACTAAGTTTCTACTCAATTTAACAAAACTTTTTTCATTTTCCAGGACTCAAACAAATATCACGACTGGATCAGTTTCCACTATCCTCATTTGGCAGAAGTATTTGCCCAGTTCCCCTCCTGTAGACCTCAAGCTTCACTACTAGCTACTCTGCTGAGTCCCTTGCAGCCCAGATTCTACTCTATATCCTCGTCGCTCCTGGCCCATCCTCAAAGGGTACATGTCACTGTTGCCGTTGTCGTTTATAGGACCCAGAGTAAGTATTTTGTGACAATCACTAAATATTTGCTTTTTTTGCACTCTTACACGTTTGTCTTCTATCAATAAAACCTCTTATGAACTTTTCATATTTTTATTTTGTGATACCCTTTAGATGGCGAAGGACCTGTACACTATGGTGTTTGTTCAAACTATCTAAAGAGTCTACAACCTGGAGACGAAATTATGGCATTTATCAGACAGTAAGTACCTTACAGACTAAGAGCCAATTTCAGAACGGTTGGATTTGCTATCCACTGTGCTAGTCACTGAGTGAAAATAGCAAATATTATTAATTTATTTTTCTATTCTATTTGCAGTAAATCAAGCTTCCACATGCCCAAAGATATATCAGCCCCACTCATCCTGGTTGGACCTGGTACTGGAATAGCACCATTCAGAGGATTCTGGCATCACCGAAGACATCTCATCAAAGAACTGGTGTCACATAATCCTGGACCAGTTTGGTTGTTCTTCGGATGCAGATACAAGAGTATGGAATTGTATAAAGAAGAGAAAGAGGAAGCGGTGCTGGATGGTACGCTTCATAAAGCTCGCTTGGCCCTGTCCAAAGAAGAGGGCGATCATAGAGTAAGTGTGAACATGAATTGATCTTATTACTAGACGCTAAGAGAAATTTTTATTGCTTTCTACTTTGGATTGCTTTGTTAATCGCAGAATAGACAAGCAATTTGTAAGGTGAAGTTTAAGAGTTTACTAGGTTGTATAGCATTGCGTTTATCTAAGAATTAGATTGTACATACAATGACAATCTGATTCTTCTTTTTACATAATTACTACATGAATTGGATATGGAAACAAAATGGAATAAAATTAATGCAAAGAATAAAGGTATCAAAACACGTGCACTTGTACTGTACTGTCTTTCATTAATGCGCTAAGTACATTACGTTAAGTTCCAAATTAATGAATGTATTTTCCCATCAATCAGAAATACGTCCAAGCTCTACTAGACGATGAAGGAGCAGAAATGACAAGACTATTAGTAGAAGAGCACGGTCACTTCTACGTATGCGGTGATTGTAAGATGGCAGACGATGTAGAACAGAAACTGGAAGAAATCATCCAGAAACATGGCGATATGACGGAGGAAGAAGCCAAAGAATTTATCGCCAGCTTACGGGTAAAAAGTCATATATTTTTTCTAAACCTTTATTAATAGGCGTTGCATTGTGTGCTATGTTTAGAAATTAATGATGGGTTTAACTTTTTTCTTCTGAAATTATGGCTGCTTACGATATAATGATTTTGTTTTATGTATAGAGAGATCATATTTAGAAGTAATATGATAGATTTATATATGTATATTTAAATGTAGAGGATCCTCATATTTCTTGGGCTCAAGCATATATCGTTGACGCACTTGTTGCTTATTATTTCGAAATAGTATTAACTACCTATTTTATTCGCCATAATTTATAAATATTGGTTATGTCTATCATCAATTTTACGATATAAATCGGGGTCTAATGTCTAATCATTTAATTGCAGAATGAGAACCGTTACCATGAAGACATCTTCGGTATCACCCTTCGAACTGCCGAAGTACACAGTGCATCCAGAGAGACAGCAAAGAGGACTCGCATAGAATCCCTAAAGTCACAAACGTCAACTGGTTCTTTATTAGGATAGCGTTAAGCAGATGGCAGCACCATAGCTTTTAAGTGTAAACGTGATTTTTTATATTATTTCAATAAATTCGCAAGTTGTTTTGATAAAATACTTTGGAAAAATCATTTTAAAAACGTAATTGGAATTTGAAAGTTATGAAATTATGTTTAATAATTGTTTAAGCTTCTCTTTAAACTTTTTCTGTAATCGCTGATGGCGTCAAGTATATTGTCAATGTCATTTCCGCATTTGTCAACTTTATGTAGGTAATGTTTCCCACACAAAAATGATCATGCTAAAGGTTAAAATTCGACTTAATTTGTATAGTAGTAATAATATTTTACGAAGTAGATAAGCTAGACTGTTGAATCTAATTATAATAAATATTAATAAGATATTTTAGTTTTGTTACCTTCATTTTATGCATTTAATAAAAGCTGAATAATAATATCAACTGCAGTTTTTGATACTACTATGATATCAATAAAACTTCGACACAATAAACTACGTATTAAATTAAACATTAATATTGTCAGGTTTTTTGGTTTCCGTCACATAAATAATTTATAATATAAAATAAATAATTATAATAAATTAAATTAAATTTATTTTTATTGAATACAAATTGCAGGAGTGAAATAGTCACACATAAGCGTGTATCAACGGCGTGAACCAATGCCTATTTGTCTGTTTTGTTAAATGCTAATCCTGTTCCCCAAAAGACCGATAAAGTTGAAAATATTCATGGGCGGCACCATAATCTCAATAATCGGCTATCACATAATATATTTTTAAAACATGTTTTGCGTTTGTATCTCTATTTCTAGAAATCTATTGAGAATCCGTTTCAACGATGTATATAGTATAGCCAAGATAACAACATTCATTTTTCATCAAAAGGAGAATAGAAATATGGGATCTAAAACAATGTGGTTAAGACACAAAGTAGTTATTTAGTTAAAAAGTAAAAAATATCTGCGTAATAAAATCTACATAAAATAAAAGACATATATTCGGATATTTCTTTATTCTTCTTCATCTTACAATAAATGTTTCCAATAAATATTTTTCAATATTGTTATAGTATATAATATTATATATATTTTCTATATTAAATTAGGTTACTAAAAACAATGCAATGTATTGAGTCCAGAATGTAGCTTTATAAGTACTTATAATTGAATAAAATAAAATATGTAACATGATTTAATTTAATTAATTGATAAAGAAAGTACACCTATATTGTCTTTTTCTTGAAAAAAGTAATAAAACTACAACTAGAATTAAAAATAATGTTTCATTGCGCTTACCACTTTTACATTTTTTTAAATGTACGTTGATGTTTGAACAAAAAGGTTCACTTCAGGTTGATTGAGAATTCGATTTTCTGGGTAACCTAATTTCCATTAAATATCCACAAATTTAGAAAAAATAAGTGTACTATATTTTTCTTCTGCACATTTTAAAAACAGGACTATTAATCTAAATGCAGGGATCTCAAAATATTTACAAGATAGTGTATTCTCAATGCCTCAGCTTCTTCTTCTGACAACATGATCATAGATTTCAATTTGCGTATATTTGGGCGAGTAAACACGTTGCTTCGTTGTATTCTGACCCGGATCTTGTTGGGGATCTGGACAAATGATTTTATGGTCGTGACGGTTCTGGAAGAGAAGACCTCTGTCTGGATCCATTACTGGCTGAAAAGGGGATGTTAATTTTATGAATTGTGTTTACGATGGTTAAATAGTTGTACTTTATTACTAACTGTTCTCGCTATTACTGACGATTTTATAAAAATCGACCAGACCCAGGAATCAACGTAAGTCTCCTGTTCGGCAGTCATGATTACGGTCACTGTAACACTAATCACTATATGATGAACTGATATGATAAAGCTTATTACATTTGTCTGTTTGGCTAAACACCCTAATATCCGAAACTACTGTACCATCCTGTTTTTGTTGGATAGGTAGCTTATTTATCAAGAAACCTACTTAATGAGCACTACTGCTGAAAATTATAGCTAAACAGAGCCTTGTCAGAATCCCCAAGATAAATGCCAATAAAGTTTGCTGGCCACGATATTGTTATCAGCGGCGATAAGTCACGTAGAAGTAATTTCACAGGCAGATCTATGAAAGTCGAGTTGAGAACTAAATCTAAGTTTGGAAGTCTAGATAGTCTTGAAGTGTCTAGGTAAAAGACTGTTCAGGTTAAAATATTATGTGCAATACAAATAAATGCCTTTAAATTTAATGATCTGTCGACTAGGTTATAACTATAATCTTTTTTTTTACAGAAAGAAAGAATACAAAGTTAAATTTTACATTTCAAATCAATTTTGAAAATAATGACCCCAACGTTCGAAAATCCAAAAAAGAAAATGTAGACTGAGAAGCACAAAAACCCTTGCAATGACGAAAAATTAATCAATGAAGGTCCAAAACGGCCCCATGAGGGTTTTCCACTCCATGAGGACTGTCAGATTTTTACTGACTAAAAACCACCATTGTGTCCCGTCTCATACGGGCGTGAGGTTACGGGAATAAAATACATCCGCAGCATATTTATTACACTTATACACTTTACCAGTAAGACTTATGAATGTGTAATTATATGTATTCTAATATTTAGGATTAATGCATACAAGTTGTAATGATTTCAACCTTTGTTTAACAAATAAGCAATTTAGTAAAACAATCAAAAGTATTCCATTTATTTGTGTGTATAGTGATTGTAGTCCTTATTGTAAATTAATAAGAATTAGATTGGACAGAACGGATTGGAGCCTCTTCAATATTGTAACGTCAACCTTTTTATGGCGTTGATAATTCAAACTTTTTCTAATGCAATCAGTAGACTTACAAATAATTAAACTCCATAATGAGGAAAGGGCAACTCTCAAAGCGTTTAACGAAGCTATTAGCGGTTTAATTTTTATTACAAACACTTTTTCGCTTGAACTAAAATATAAAGAAAGTAAATCTGAAAGTAAGCGGAAGGGTTGAAAGGAAACAAGGAAGCTTAATTTTCTAGGGAAATCATAGGCAGTCATTGAAGCTGCTGTATTATTTATAAAATAAATATTATTAACCTCTTTATGGTGTATATTATAAACCCTTTATAGGTTTGAACTCAAACGTCGAACTACAACGTTGTCTAAATAACAGTCAATAAATCTAAAATAATATTAATTTAAGAAAAAACTTAAGTATACGCATCGAGTTCTGATTATGGCTACCGAAAAAATCTGACACTCTCTCCCACCCCACCCTGTGCGGGTGTCATCATTCGATGATTGTATTATCACAAAAAAAAGTTACCAAAACATAAAAATACTAAGAATATTAATTAATACACAACTCTAGCAGCCTTTAAAAGTAATATTGTAAAAAATATCTAAACATGGGTTACGTTAAAAACTAAAAACGCCACATCAATACCGTACTACATTCTGCCGGCATAGGTATGCGCCAAAACTTTAACGAACTATGCAAATATTTGCGTCAGACCGACGTTCAGTGGATATCGAAATTGTTCCCGAATAATCTCACTTCGAGTTGACTTGTAGTGACAAGTATCCGGAATGCGGATATATCTAAACTACATTAGCACATAGTTTCAAAGATTTTTGGAGTAGATTGTGATCATCAGTTCATTCAGTACGAATACCATACTTATCAGTGTGTGAGCTACACGAGGATAATATCCAATGGGATGACTAGTAACCTACTATAACAGTCAGATAATTTTGCCCGCCTAAACAAAACAGCATTCATTTAAAGTTTTTAAATCCTTCGCCTTATCGATACTGAACATGGCTAGAGAGCGTCCGGTTTGTCTACTATCTATTTACTGAAAAAGTCTTGTTTTTTACCTCCATACCAATTTGCAACTTTACTACTACTTTTTTGTTCATGTTTTTTCCACTTAAATTGTAGGAAAAAGTAAGTGGTCTAAACTAACCTTGTAATTCCTACTAATATTGCTTCTAACTGTTCCATGACGCCAATGATAATAGCCAAGGTCACTGTCTCTTGGCCAAAGAGTTTTGCCTTGCTTGAAGAATGCTGTCCAGTTCTCAGAGATGAGTCTATGAGCGTAGTCTATGTACCCTGATATCTCGAAGCCCCCTTTTGTGTAGTGACGGATGAAGATTATAGACTGAGAAGAGAGAAGAAAAATATCTATACTAATATTATAAAGAGGTAAAATTTGTAAGTTTGTATTGGGGGTATTCTTTGGAACCGCTAGTCAGATTGCCAAAATTATTCCACTGATAGCTGCAATTTTCCTGAGTGCTATAGGCTATAAAACATCACGCTACGATTCAAAGGAGCAGAGCAGCAGGTGAAACCGCGCGAGAGTGAGAGAGAGCAGGTGAAACATATATAATGAGATAGCTTAAGATTTTTTTTTAAATGACTTCTCCCCTTATCTCATGTGTCGTGGGTGTGGTTACAAATACACAATTTCACATACACATGACAACCACACCCAGAACAATGATTTGTGGATCAGACAAAGAATTGTTTCGTGCGGGAATCGAATCCGCGACACGTTGCACGGTGGCCAGTTACCCAGCCACGGCACTAACCGTGCAGTCCGTAGACGGCAGTCATTCGTAATTTAGTAAGTAAAAACAAAAAAAAAAGTCCAAAGTGTTTAAAATTCAATTTGTATTGAATCATAAGTAACTAAACTCTTTCTAAAAAAGCAAAGTAAAATTCTATTGGTAACACGTCTAATGAAAAAAGTTTGGTAAGATTTTTAGAGAAAGGTTTTATTTTGTTTAGCCATTTTCTTATGTTACATTGTATATACATATAAAATACAAATAACCACAGAAAATTATTTAAAAAATATTTACGTTGCAAATTTTCACACCAGCAAAACGGTGCGAAGCACCGGTTAACCACAATACGTGACGTAGCCGCTACGCCATTCACGGAGTTAAATAAATTTGAAATTTATTTATGTCAAAATTACAGTTCGATTCCATTTACCTGCAGGATTCCTACTCTGTTAGCTCGTTCTCTCACAGCCAGTTCTCTGTTGAAAGAATCCTCCAAGTCTGCTCCTTCACTAACCAGGACGTACGGCTTTCCTTTAGGAAACACGATCTCGTGAATGGCAGCTCGACGCTTGTAAAATTCTTTTTCAGCTAATGTATCTCCATAAGCTCTGAATTTTAATAAATCTTATTATAATATTGTACTTTTAGCTGTGGCATTTATGTTGATTAAAATGATGAAAGAAGTTGGTTATTAAATATTATACTGAAATTACCCTATAGTCCTCTAAGGTAAAATTTCAACATAATTTATAGACAGTTGTTAAACACTATTAAAATGTAAACTTATTCAGTCATCCAGATTCAATTTTAGCTTATACTTATAATAAAAAAAAACTCTTTAAAACAAGAAATAATAGGACAAATCTTAATCGCATAGATGCAACATCTTGAAGTCTTGGGTATGTATGTGTAGGTATGTACCAGTTTATTTTCAAGTCTACAGTTAAAACTCACAATTGAAACCTTCGTAGAAATCCACCAGTTCATCATTGGTCATTCCTGGTCAGGTCTTACCTGTATCCAAGAGCAGCAATAGTCCGAGCAGAAGCAATACTCCTCAAATTTCTAAGGTCAGCAATTTCTATAAGCGAATCCAGATAATCTTCCCAAGTATCAAAGCGAAGCAATTTTCTATCAGCCTCGACACCTGGTGGGTACTCATTTTTTTTCTCTGCCATCGCCATTTTTGATTATAATTATTATAAACTCACTACAAAAACAAACTTAAACCAAAATTATGAATAAAATTTCAATGTAAATTTATTTGACACAAGGTTTTTTGACAGCCCGATACGCTGTGTGACACTGACACCTGAGACTCAGCAGCCATATTGAATATTTTTTCTGCGATAAATTTAAGGTTTTATATCGATAAGGTATTTCAAAAAGGTTATATATAGGCTATTTTCGTAATTGTTATTATTCTAAATTATTAAAGGAGAAGTTTTTTTCTTGAACCAAAGATTAAGGTGACGTAAACGTTGATAGGTACTCTTTTATCGTTCTTTTTGCGGTAGCGCTAATTGAAAATGATTTAAGATATTTTGTCCTTTATTGTATAAATATTTGATTATTTTAACAGCTTATGATATCGGCACATATTTTACATAACATTCAGATCATTTGCATCAAATTTAGTGTACCTATTAGTTTATTACATTATAAACAACCACTGCACGAGCTTCTTACTACTATACTTTTTTTAAGTACCTATCTCGAGATATTTAAAAACACACTAAGATTTTCTCGTGTGTCCTGGGAGCGTTTAAAATATCTTATATGCACTTAAAATACAATTAAACTTGGAAGAACAATTTGTGGATCACACAAAGGACTGTCCCGTAGTTGAATCAAACTCACGGCACGTGTCGCACCAACCGGTTGATCAACCACTGCTGCAAGCGTGTAATATCTCGTATAGGAACGAAACCAAATAAAATAAACAAATGATAATCTCAAAATATAGCTAAGTTATGCCTAGTTCAGTAGCACCCCTGAAAAGGCTAAACCTTAATATTTTATACGCAGACAGTATTCGATTCGTTACATTTTCATTGTCTTTCAGACATCCCTTTGGTATTGGTTTAAATATTAATATGTATCTGTGTATCTGATTCTCTAAGCTCTTTGCTATGTTAATGTTTTCTTCATATTTATTTATACTTCACACTGATTTTTGGTAGGCTTACAAAGTCTTGTAGTGATATCGAACTCTACCTAACATTTTTTTTATTTTTTAAAGAATCTGCGAACGAATTTTGTCATTCATTTTAACACGAAATTGTTAGCAATTGTTTAAGTGATTGGTTAGCAAACCAGCAGACGGATGCGTTGTGCGTTGCAGGTTCTGTATAAGGGTTTCGGAGATGTTAGGAATGAAGAGGGATGGGGGAGGGGAAAGATGGCGAATCACAACGCAGGTGATTTCACTGCATTTTTCTGTGAAGAACGTGGTATCACTCATCATTCCGGTCGAGGTGACCAAATTTAAAACCTAAGAATTAGATACATTGCCGCATTTATGTCACTTAATATTTCAAGAAAATAGATTTGCGATTGTTGCATTATTATTAAAAAAGTACTCTCAGTATTAACTTCTCATAGGTCATATCATATAGATTAAATCTTGCCTAGATTGAGTATTAAAATTATATAGGTAGTACGCCTACATTAACAATTCCAATTTTCTCTCCGCTAAGTTAGCTCCTTTACAAACGTAAGCTGATATTATTAGTTCTTCTTAGTAAAACTATTAAACTGGCTTAAGTTGTTACTGGTTGGCTTACAACACACAATTGTGTTCGTTAAATCTTAAGTTTAACTTTGCACAATAGACTTGTATTCCTAAGTTACAAGTGGAAACTTATTCCTTTCAATCCGCTTACTTCTGTGCTGGTGAGTGTAAGTAGATTATTTTTAATGTTAGGAATACATATCTAGTGTAAAACCAGATTCAACCGCATATTATCAACGATATAATGTACAATACTAGTTTCCGCCCCCGACATCGTCTGCTTGGTATGATAATAAAAAGCAGCCTACATGTTAATCCAGGGTGTTACCAAATCTCAACTAAATTGGTCAAACCTTTCTTGCTTGAAAGAATAACAAACATGCATCCATACATTCTCACAAACTCTTACATTCATAATATTAAAAAGTTAATAAGATAGCAGGATATCAGGATAGCAGGACAGCAGAATAGCAGGATTGCAGGACAGCAGGATAGCAGGATAGCATGCTAGTAGGATAGCAGGATAGCAGGATAGCAGGATAGCAGGATAGCAAGATAGCAGGATAGCAGGATAGCAGGATAGCAGGATAGCAGGATAGCAGGATAGCAGGATAGCAGGATAGCAGGATAGCAGGATAGCAGGATAGCAGGATAGCAGGATAGCAGGATAGCAGGATAGCAGGATAGTAGGATATAGTAGGATACAGTAGTTACATACTGTATTAATCTGATATTAATTCAGTAACTTCTAAAAGATAAAAGATAAACAAGCAGACACATCATCTGGCCCATAGACACCCGTAATTCCTAAAGAGCTGCAAGTGCCCTGCCAGTCTCTTAGCGGTTATAGATTTTAAGATTGGGGTTACTGAGGATTGGGATTAAGAAGGAAGGATTTTGTAGGGTAATCACACTCACACGGCGAACCATTAAACAAGCATTTTTGTACACACCTTTTTTCTACAGACGTAGCCGTGTTTAATCAATCTGGTGAAGCCGAAAATTAAATTTTCTGAAGTGGTTTAAAATGAATGACTTGTTTCTTACTCATTAGAGATACTTCAAAAACATTTTTGATTTTAAACTTTAATTTATTAAAACAGGTAAACAATAATAGTCCTTATTTTAAATGCCTGGCATTGAAAACTAATTTACATTCGCTTGAAAATATAAGAAACACGTGAGTGATTTACGATTGGCGAAGTCCCTTAGGACTGAGGGTTGAATAGAAACTGTTGAAACAGACCTGTCTCAGCACAAAATTGGGCCTAGATTTATTACAATATTCATGCCAATAAATATTAGTCACAAAATAGTCTGTATTTTATATAAGCAAAAGGTGTCTTTTAGTTCCAGCGTAAAATAAATGAGAGGCCACAATACAATAATACAAAATTAACATCCATGATTATTCATTAATTTATTTAATATTTCATGGACACGTGAAAGCCAAAGGAACATTATGGACTTAATGTCATACAGCATTATCTGCCATACCTTAGGATTTGTGGGAAATCAGCGAAACTAGGCTTGTGTTAAGATAAAGTACCTTACAGTAAAGATTTTTCATGTTAGATTTTATTGCGAATATTACAACAAATTGACCTTTAACATTTTATTTTAAATGGCAGTCCTAGTTTTATTTCGACAGCTTAGTAGAGAAAGTCTACCTATAAGTATGTACTCTTAAAAATATTAATTATATATTATGTATCGTGTATATTTATAATAAGTTTCGAATTTTCATTTAATTTCAATCCGTATTTAACATTTTCGCTTAAAACAACAAATAATTTGCGCCGAAATTACTGATGCTAGTTGTATTTAATTGGGACATCATTAGTGATTCTGATTAATCATACTCCTGATATAATAACATGTACAGGAACATTCGTCAAACAACATTAAAAGACAAACATTTGAGATAACTATTACTCAGTGTGAGTTACCCATGTTTCGGCACAAATGGGCTGGCTTGACTGAAGTGAAAATTGGCGTGATACGGATGTTTTGTGACTTAAGTAACAGTTGGCCTTATCCTTTCCATCCCCAATCTCCAATTCACATATTCATAACAACCCTCAAACGACCAACAACGTCGTCTGCCACCTAAATGCCCCATAAAAATTACTATAACGTATTTGCAATATTGCAGGTTTTGTAATCATCGGCCCCTTTTCGCCTTTGTATTAGTTTTATTTCACCATCCAAATTTGGTCTATAGGCCTCCTCGATTTAGGCACCGCGACCTCGGCCCAGAGCAGGAGAAGGTACGGGGGGTTTTTAGTCAGTAAGAGTCTGACACTCTCTCTCGCCTTACCCTGGGCGGGAGAAGTCATTGGATGATTTTTCCCTGACAAAAAAGGCCTCCTCGATTTAATAGAGGTTTGGAAAAATCTGCACTGACAGACGAGACGAAGATATCAACTTGAAAGGTTTAGTTTTATCTTTATCATTAACTTTGTCTGACAACAAAAACGGAAAAGTAACGTGATAATTCGTAAGAGAGATATTTGGTTTCATGCAAATCAAACCTTTGTCCACAGTATTAAAGTTGAAATTGATGTCACTGTTACCGGAGCGTGTACATGCATGTTTTATCTCCCGTTTTGCTTGGGCGCTTTTGCATTCTTATTTTATCGTAGCACGGGTAACTATTCAATGCATTCAATTGCTTTTCAGCTGTATTCCCCGCTGTTTCGCTTCAAGCTTATAAATACAGCTGCTGAATTTGCAATGAACAAAGTTGTTCTCTAACGAAGACTTGTTGTACCTATTACGTATTAAATTTATACTCTATATTTCGTTTTTGAATCTTTGAGAAGTATGTCTTGAATTGACTCTTAGCGTAAGATCACATGCCTTTGTTTCCTTAGCTTAAGTTAAGTAACTAACCAAGTGTTTTATTAATCTGAAAGCATAACTAAAGACCGAATGTAATATGTGATTAGAAAACATAATAATTACCCATAAATTTAATAACGATATTTTTAATTTCGAAGGTATATCTGCCACGTTTTCTCCCAACATGGTTGGAGAGAGCGAGTGTTAGACCCGGCAAAAACCACCCTGATCGTTCTCCTGGTCCTTAAAGAGTGTACTGTATATAATTGTACTTAAAGAAAATTGAAAGGTTTATTCCAGAAATATTTAATTCATAGCGCCTGTGATTCTATTATACCATACTTATTTAGAAAAAAATATAGATGTTATCATATTTCGTTGATTAGACGAACTCAAACCACTAACATTGCCCGGCCGGTTGCCCATCCGCTAAGCCAACGATGCAGTTATGCTCAGACAGCTATATATAAGTGCATGAGCACAATCATCATAAAATGAAAAAGTTTAATTACCGTCTTTAGCTTTAGTTGTTTTCCAGCTCATAAACTGAGGAACCTTTATATGAAACGGGAGCAGAGAGGTGAGTACGAGTTATTTTTACGTATA